CAAATTTGCTCCTAAAAAACATTCGAATATCTAATATTTTTAAGGGAAAATTTTTAAGGCAAATTTACACCTTAACCCAAATGAAAAACAAGTTTTGTTTGAGGTATTATAATCAATGCAGGTATTTCTTACCAGCTCTAATATACAATGCTCCCTCTGATTCCTAATATATGTAGGAGCTCACTAATTAAGGGTTGGTTTTGGTCCTAAATATAATAATATTAATTTTCTTTATCTATCATTTTTTTAAACTAATTTATTTAACTTGTAAATTGATATATATATGTATAATGTTATATATGGGTATTTTAAGGGTTGGCAAAAAAAGGGGGCATTTTAAGTAGATCAGTTAACTAATTTAGTTGATTTTTTTAATTTATTTAAATTAGTTAAATAGTTTTTATGCCAAAGAAGAAACATGATGATTGAGAGATATTATTTTTTTTCCTAAAATTATCTAATATTTTGAACAATTTCAAGTCAATAAATTGTTGGTATACGCAACATATAACAGATGTATAAGTTAATCTAAAACAGAGAGACAATAACGTAGAATTGTATATAATGATTGATTGATTCAGGCTTCAAAATTATTATTATGCGTAATGGCCATAAGAAGTTATTCAAAATTAAACTCTAGAACTTATCCATCTGATCAACGACTTACGAAGAGAATATCAATTGGGATTTGAAGAACCTCAAATCAAACAAATATTGCTTTCTTTTCACAAAGTTGCGTTCCACCTTTTCATGTGTGTATGAGCACTTAACCTACTCACATGCTTCTTCTCTTTAACTATTAATAGTTTATGAAAGATCAATATCATTATTATTATATCATGACAGCCACTAGGAAACGAACAAAACCTATTTATCATAATGCTTTTTAGCTTTTTATTGACCACTTTGATGTCTCTCTTTACGGGGTATATTGTCATATTTATCTCACCCTGGATATATCCAAGCTAAGCATGTTTTAAATTTTTTTTTTCATTGGCTATTATTATTTGTTGTATATGTTGGCGCGCGCACACACATATATCTTCGCTAAATTAGCTAGATATTATATATTCATGCTTTCCAAAATAGTTTTAAAAAACTAAAAATTCTCTTAATTGAATGTGCTTCGGTTTACCACTTCCTTCAATTCCCCAAGTGCAAATCTTGTCGATTACCCAAATGTGAAGATTAAGGTAACCTTATACTGTTTGAAATTATTTAAACATACTTTTCAGAAATATAATCTGAACAAATAATTTGTGCTTTTATAGCTAGTAAGCATATATTTAATAGTTTATATTTATAAATTTTATTATATGCTCCTCTAGGCTCGAGTCCTATTTATAAGGTAGAGAAAGAGTTTTTTCCCAATATAAATCACCTTATTAAATTTATTATATAAATGCACCATTTTATCTTTAATTTATTTTTTTTCTTTTGAACTTCTGATTAAAATATATATCAAATAAATATAAAATTATTAAATTATTAAATTTTAAAACAAAATTAATGAGATTAAGATTTTTTTTACTCTAATGAAAAATATTTAAAATGTATTACAAATAATATGAGAACAGTATATATACTGATATATAATCCCTTCAATTCTTATTATAAGCTTCAAAAAAACCTATTTGTGCGTAACAAAAAATTTGTTAAAAGCAATAAATAAAAAACAAGATGAAAGAGAATGTATCTGGAAATGTAATGATAAACAATTATATATGGCAAAGGAAAAAAATAAATAATTTATGAACAAATTTGAAAACAAAACCTAAATTAAAGATTATAAATTGTTTGAAGCTTTTATCGGATGACGCTTCCAATGTCTAGAAGCGCCGCACATTCCACTCTATGTTGTTGTCCACATGTAAGCATATACTCCTCTGGTTCTATTTACAAGGCAGAAAAAGAAGATATTTTTTGGTCATATTTATAAGGCATTGAGAGAAATTTTTTGTATGAATATATAATTTTATTTTTTATTTATTATTATATTAATTTTGTTTACATGAAGTATATATATATTAAATACGGATAAAATTAAAAGTTATTAAATTTTAAATAAGAGTTAATAAAGTTTAAGGTTTTTTCTTGATCTGTGTAAAGCATGTTAAAAGTGACTTATAAATATGACCAGAAAAGTGTGTGTATATATATAGTGCGTTGTTAGGTGTATGTATGTGTGTTCGAAATGAGATAGTACTATATTGGTCTGCAGATGATGGTGAAGATGGGATCTGTATACTTGTGGATGCATGAAGGAGTGTGGCATACTTAACAATTGGATCCACCACACAGCCCCGACCCCCCAAAAAAAAAAAAAGGAAAATATCTAGTTGAATCTAATGAGAAATCTGAAAGTATAAATAATAAATATATAAGTTAAGAACTCATCATCCAGTTAATATTTTAATGACTTTATTTACGGCCACACACACACACACCTGCAGTAACACAATATTTTTCTTTTCCTTGATTTAACAATTCTTCACCTCTCAATTTCCAACAACCAGACACGTGCATTCGAGCCACCAACCTAACACAGCTTCAAAGCTTTGCTTCCCGATTCGATGTGCTTCTTAATAATCATGTCAACCCGATTCCCCTGTACGTACCATTCATAAATATATATATAGGGAGAGTTTAGTTAATAAGAAGCAAGAAATTCATGTGGAGGTTTAATAATTATTGAATGTCACATGCTGGTTTCATAATAAACGATTAATTCCATCCGTCTTTGGATCTAGCTAGCTTGTACTATAAAGTAACAAAAAATATAAACCAGATAAAGAAAAAGAATGTGTTGTTTCCTATATTAGGGTTATTGTAATAAATTTTCTCCCCGGAAAAGTATTAAATATATCCAGGTTGGGGTTGTTGGGTGCAAGAGCAGTTTATGCACGATCTAAATTAAAGTGATCGATCATACTTTTTTCAAAAGCAATGCTACTTAGTAATTGTTAATGCTCAAACTCTTTAACCTTTTTGTTTTTGTTCTTTCTTGTCAGTAAAAGACTACTATAAGGTAAAAAAAAAGTAAGATATATACAAATATATAATAGAATTATAACAAGTTGAATGGTGTTTGTTTAACTTTTATCTTTATTCTCACCAATAATTGAAACATGTCAAGTGTTTACTTTTATTCAACTAATTAATTATTAAATGTATTGGATGAATGAATCAAAGAATTATATATTAATAGGAATAAATCTAGTGGACTCCATCTTTCCACGTCCGACACAAACATCGATATAATGAACAGAGAGAGGGGTTGTCAAAGGTTGGAACCATGTTGGTGTCTTTACTCCAAATATCTATTATTGTGTTATTCTTCACATCAAACCATCTCCTTTTAACTTTGAGTGGATTCCAACTCCTCATTCAACCATTCCCATAATTCCTCCATTGTTTCACTTTCGCTAACGCACCTTCCCAACATTTTCACCTATTAATTCCATCAATATATACTATTTTCAAGAACCTCATTATTGGAGACAAGGATGAGTTCATATATGTGCGTGTGACCGGGAAAAAAAAAAATAATCCCATGTTGGATAAGAGTTAATTCTTATTCATGAATTTTATACATTTAGATTTTATGTTAAGATGTACGAGTAGTGTCAAACTTATTTATATATGCATCTTGTTTTTCTAGGTCCTCGTACTCGCACTGTCATTATTTTACATTGTATAAAGTTGTGTGTGTAGAATATTCTTGAAAGAGTACCAACAAAGCCCGGTATGGTTGGTAGATAACTGAGTTTCTTGAACATGATGTTTTGAGTTTGAATTAAACCATGTGTATGGAAAAGGCTTTATTGAAAGAGATAAAAACTCATTTTGGTGATTTCTACGTCTCAAGAGGATTAGTTTCTAGCCATCAGCTGGTTTCTACCAAAAAGAATATTCTTGGAGTAGAGCATATAAATTTGTAAAATATGTGGCAATATAATGTAGATTTTGTGTATATGGTTTTTTTTTTTGGTTGTGTTTGGAGTATAAAAGTTTTATTTGCATGTGTGTTTATATATTAGTTGTTGTGGTCAATTTTCACATGATTTGTGAAGCCAAATTTTTATATCAGTCTGGCTCTGTCGTATTATGGTGCCAACTCACAATTCTACTTAAATAAAGCATTCCTTTGATTTTATATGAAAGTGGGACGCTAAAGTATATAATTAATGGAACCGCCCCAACCCCCTTTCTTTCCCTATTCCTTTTCCCCCCGACAAAAATTAGAACGAGCGTGGTCTCTATGTTCATAAATAAGTTAAATCCACATTCTTCTTTTTATTTCACCCCCACGAAACTTCCTTACCTGATTTCTGGCTCCACTGCTTTCTTTTTTCGGTTGCTCACAGGTGTTTTCTTATGGAAAGCAATCCTGTTCAAGATACAATCAAATACTTAATGTAAATACGTTTCTTTATGCAATTTGTTAATGATGACCGCCCAGAATTCTCATTGCATTCGCCACTAAATTTGCAGTTGCCAGAAAAAGAATTCAAATGATATTGTGTTCGTTGCAGCAATTATTGATATAATGTCCAACAGCTTACACATGTACAGCACACAGATATTGCGTTTTGATTTAAGAATCCATGGAGGGATATTAAAAAATTAATGTGGGAGGAGCTAGTATGGCATATATCAGAGGGAATTAAGACCATGGGAATGCATCTGGACTGGTAATAATTAAAAGGTTTCAATGATGACTTTGAGCACTAAAAAGAGAAGATCAAAACTGCCACTTTTGAGTCAGCTTTGATTTGATGTATAAAATGCTTCAAGTCCTTGAGAGATCGATATATAGTTGATATAAGGGACCCCCTAATTACCTGAATCTCCATATACCCAATCATAGATGCCTTCGATTATCTTATCCTTCACAGCATCTATATATATATATATATATATATTTATATATTATGTATGGCCAGTGATGAAACAAATGAACGAGCTCGGATGCTAATGAATCCATGGATCGCGATAACTATAAATAAAGCAGCAGCTCGATCCAATTAATGCTTTAAGACTTAGGTAGACAGATATATCTGAACTTCTGAAGTTACACAATGACATAATTAATGATATATATATATATATATATATATATGTTCCTCCTGTACTTGGCTAGCTGGTCACATCTAAACTAAGAAAGACACTTGTGTCTTTCTTCGGCTTTTGCTTTATCGATCCTTACATATTTGTCTTGTTCCTCTTAGCTGAACAAAAATTAACAAGTGTCCTATACCATATCCTACCACCCTGAGCTTTTTTTTTGGCAGGGTAGACATTTACATTTATGTCATTTACACCCTGGAACGAGCTCGCACCGAAACTCTTTTCCACTCCACTAATCGCTGAAGAAAATCCATCACCTGCATATATATGTGTGTGTGTGTGTGTTAATCAGAAAATAAACAACCATATATTATTAATATATATTTGTGGAGAAAATATGAGGTCTCAAATGTGTACTTGCCTCGTCGGGTTCTTGTAAAGAGTAAGATGCACTCGTATCTTTCGGAAATTTGGAGACAAGAATGCCATACCCTTGTCCTCTCTCTCTCAGTTTCTGTTTTTTGCAGCACGACATTAGAGGATAAATACTTAATAACAAGCTTTCTAAAGTAGTAGTAGTAGTAATAATAATATATAATAATTAAAGTGAGTGTGTGGGAGCCTAGTGTTTGTTTTTGGAGAAGAAGAAGAAGACTTTTTTTGGGGGAAAAAAAAAAGTGAAGGAAGGAATCAAAGTAATATCATTGGATACCTTGAATGCATCTTCATCGGATCGATCGTCTCCAATGTAAACAGGAAACACGTCTGCACAGTTGGCAAATCCTGTCGACATATTTGGATTTACTATTCAGATTGGCAAACACATCCCCACCAGAGCAAAACAAAAAAGTTGACAACTTATGAAGCTCTTTGGCCATTCATTAGAGGTCTTCCTTTCTGTCTTTTTCCTTCTTTTTTTCCCCTCTACTTGTCCAATAATATTTACTTATATTAATATTATCGAACGATCAATTAAGTGGACTTGGTGGGTTAATGAAACACAAGTTTCAACATTGTGGACTTACCAAGTGACTCTAACAAAAATTCCAAGGCCTCTCCTTTGTCCCATTTAATGGGGGGACGAATCTCAAGTACCTGATTCAAGCAAATCGCATTGAAAGTGAGACATCGATTCTTTGATCTTTCTTAATTAACAACCTCAAAGTAAATATCAAGAATAGAATAAACTACAGAACCAGCTGGGCCCACCTTCCTTCCTTGAGTAAGACGAAGCTTGGGGTATTCCTTTAACACCGATCTAACCTGGTTTGCCAGTTCGCTCCATTTCTGTGTATAAAAGCAAGCATTTAATTTGATTCATCAGAGCAGAGTGAAAAAATAGTTGCATGAGATTACAGTGGGAAAAAGGAAGAATGGTTCGTACCTTTTCATCAACACGGCGAAAATGAACAGAGACACAGAACTTATTGTTCTCCACTTTAGCTCCAGGAGTTGAGCTTGTTTTCTCAAGTAACAATTGATACACCTGAGAGTTCGTGGGGGAGAGAGAGAAAAAAGTTTATCTTTTTCACATCTTCGAGACTCGATTGATCGTAAGACGAAAGTAGAAATCATGAATAAAAAACCACCAACCTTATCTATCATGGGTAAAAATTCACAGGCAGGCTGAAACAGAATCGCTTTACTGTCCTGCAGAGCATAGTTAATCAGTCAACTGTGTTATAGAAAGAGAGAAATGCCATTATAGAGCTGTAGTGTTAAGTGGATATACTCACTTTATTGTATTTAGAGATTTTGGTCGGGCCTTTAATGTCCATCCCATGGCTTCCTGCATAATATAGCTCTGCCAAGCGAACAAAGTTGTACACCTGTATATTGTGAAACAATTGCGAATTTAATCAAACATGGAAGAAAGGAAAGGACACAAGAGTGTTTATATATATACATGTATATGTATAACGATGTTTGAGAAAAGAAACCAAAAGAAGCCTATGAAATGCACCTTGTCTCTGCATCTGCCGCTAACTATAGCGGTGGGAAAACACCTGGCAAGGTTTCTCACCGTCTTCCTCATCTGTTAACACGTACGTAAGATAGATTGAGGATCTTACTATCCAGTTTGGAGAGAGTAGTTGAATAATTTAATTTAGAGTCGGCAACAGAACTAACCCCATTGGACATGAAAGCTCGATCAGGGTCGTCAACGATAGGCGAGAGCGTCCCATCGTAGTCGAGAAACACAACTATTTGCTTTCCTCTGGAAGCGTCGATGATTTGCTCAAACATGTCTAATGCAGATGGGTGATGAAGCTGCTTGATCATACATATGGTTAGATTCATAAGTGATGAAAAAGTTGACCTGAGTTAGAGACAGAGACACAGAGAGAGAGGGGCTCACGATCCAAGAGTTGCGTTCTGGGTCAAAAGGAGAGGTGGTGAGAGTGGTGGAGCGGTGTGTAGGGGAAGAGGCCCGCATGGAGTCAACCCAGGAATTAATTTTGGCGGCTCCACTGATGTCGAGGGTCTTCAAGAACTTCTTCCTTGAAATGGAGATGAAGCCGCCGCCGAGTGGTGCGGGGGGCTTGTGAGGTGCGGTGGTGAAATTGAAGGAGTTAGAGACGGCGGCGGCGGTGAAAGCCAGGTTGATTCTGGAATTGGCATCAGAGACCATCACATTCTGCTGCGTCATATCTCTGCAAAACAAGCATGTTATGAAGGGGTTGAGAATAACAGAGCATGGTGATTATGATGTTCAACAACTGAAATGAAATGAAGGGAATACCTAAAGATTGGAGGGGAAGATATATAGAGGAATATAATGGTGATTTTAAAGTGTGTGAAGAGAGAGAGAGAGCAAGAAGAGGTCGAAGAAGGGAGATATTGAGTGAGTGAGTGGGGAAAGAAGCAGAGGGTGGAGGCATGGATTTATAGTTGCAACCAGAAGCTCCTATAACGCCCAGGCAGGGTCCCACGCTTGCCACACGGTTCAGAACCTCTCCCCCTCCCTTCCCATCGTCTCTTTTCTTTTTCTTTTTTTTTTTAACAGTTAGATTAATATATTTTAACAATTTAGATTTTTTTTTATATACTATTTATAAAAAAATTTTATAAACATTTTAGTACATTTACAAACTATTAGAATTAAATTTTAATATAGTTTATGATTTATAATTTATTTATCTTTATAATTTAATATTTTAATAATAGTTTTAAAAAGATTTAAATCTAAACTGTTAAAATATTAATCTAGCAGTTAAAAAAAAAAGATGAGAAGAAAAAAAAGAAGAGGTTGTAAACTGAAGCCCCGACTGTGTCCCCTCACCTGTAGGGCCCACCATCCCACCGCCCCCTTCGAGGCTGTTTTTGGTCTTTTCCTCCGGTTTGGTTCCCCTGCACTGCACTCTCATTCATATCTTTTGAGATTTTATTTTACTTTCTACTATAAATATCTTAAAAAGCCAACGCATATTTTTATAAAAGGAAAACTTGTATGAAATTTTTTATATTTACTATATCAAGTTTTCTAATTATACATAATTATTTTTTTTTCTTCATGTAAATTTATAATTAAATTCTATTAAATACTAATATAAAAAAATATATGGTCATGCATAATTAAGGACTTCACATAATGAATATAATGAACTTGATGTAAGTTTTATTCTTTTATAAATGACTTAGTCAAGTAATTTCTTAAACCTCTATATATTTGTTATCTAATTCTTAGGATTAGATGGAGTACCATATATATTTTTTTGTAATTATCTTATATTTGGTGTTAGTATGTCATATTAAAATCCTAAATAAAAATAATTTTAGGAAATCGATTCATTTTCACTCCACCAACTTCTTTTCTCATTGTTTGTTTTGATGGTATAGTTATATAACGATAAATTAAAAAAGTACCTTTTCAATCTAGCACTACGTTATTATGCTTTTTCATTCATTGGAGATATAAGTTACTTCTAGAAAAAGTTTTTGATCTACAATATAAGGATCGCTTGAATAATAATTAATGTTTATTTGTTAATTTTATCTTTATAGTTTATACTTGAATGTGACTCTTTATACTTTTTTTTCTTTCTTCTTTTTCTGAAAATCTCATTTAATATAAATAAAGTTAAAAATTTTCCATTTAAAACAGATTTAATGAGTTGGCTATAATTGTTTTTAATGATACTCTACCATCTACATCTTTTATAACATTGTGAGTATTTTTTGAAATTTAAGTACGCACACCTAATTCAATGAAATTATAAGAATTATGTCCTTTTTATAAGAAACAATTAAACAAATTATGTTGTTCGAAATATTACCTTCGGTCCTTAATATAAGAGCTTGCTTGAATTTTATTTTGGTATTAAATATAAGATCTTAATTCACTTTGTCTCTCATATTTGTCTATTTTTTGAAGGTACTTCTTGTGATAATAGTAGTTCTAGCGAATATACTTAATTAGCAAGAATATTTTAAAAAAGATAACCCTATTTATTGTAAATAACTAACTTAACTATTTTTTTAATTTATTCAAATTAGTTAATTAGCTTTTATATTAAGGACAGGATGTAGTATTAGTTAAAATTATTTGAAGATAATTAATATCTAAAAAAATGTAACATTGTTGTCAAAAATATCTATTGTCTGTTTTTAAAAGCAAAAAGTAAAAAAAGAATATGGGAGGAAATGACAGAAGAGTCCTTGGTTAACAGGGGAAGAGGAGGGCAGCCGTCTTCTGAGCAGAGGAGTGGTGAAGCCATGGGTGTTGGCAGCTAAAAGATCTGTCCACGTGGGCTCATTCCTATGGACTTGTGCCACTCTCACTCGCTCTCCATTCTCCGTTCCCACCATTTATTTTCCTCCTTTAAAAAAAAAAAAAATAATACAAATTATATTCAAAAAAAGCAAAAGAAATATGCAGATAATAGTGGCTGGCATTGGCCACGGAAGGCAGTGCGGGGTTTCCATAATTGGTCTCTTGAGGGCCGTTCACTTAAAGCCTCTGCCGTTGAGGTATGTCGGCCTCAATTTTGTCTCTTTTTTATTCTATCTGCCGGTACCTTCTGCCCATTTTAAAAAGAGTCATATTATTATATATTTTTCAATTTTTTGTTATACTACTTTTTATCCTTAATATAAAAACTAATTGATTAATTTAAATAGATTAAGAGAGTTTATTAAATTAGTTATTTATAATAAATATGTGTTATCTTTCCTAGTATGATTATTGCCTAGATAGAAGATTTAAGATGTATAACTACTACAATAAATATTTTTAAAAAAATATAAACATAAAAGATAACGTGAATTAGGGTCTTATATATTTAGAACCAAATTGAACGTGAAGCTAATTCTTATATTAAGATCGGAGGTAGTGTTATTTTATTGATTAATTTTTTATATTATCAAGTTATTTAATTTTATAATTCTAAAATTTTACCTTCTCAATAATTTTATATTTTTAATCTATTTTATTTAAGCTTACTTAGAATATAATATTTTGTTGCTTGAAAATGTCTTGCGAAGTGTGTATATTTTCAATTATATTAAAAGATATAATTTTGAACATATTATAATAATATGTAAATTTTCTAATTTAAAATTTTTCAATATATCTCATTTAACATATATTTGTCAACAAAGTTACACAAATTTTTAACAAACTTTTTTTTTTTAAGTAAAAAATTATTTCAATATTGTCTAAATTTACTAAATATTATTAAACATAAATTTAGTAAATGAAGTTTAAATTAATAAATAAAATTTATTTGAATATAATTTTGAATTAAAAATATATTTTTAAAGTATTTTTAAGTATTTGGATTAAAATGTACATTTTTAAATAAAGGAGAGATAAGTGTAATTACACTAAACAGGAGAGTGGTTGAAGTATCTTATGTTAATTTTAATTTTAACTTTCCGTCAATTTCTAAACTGATATTGCTTCATCCTTGTTACACTGATATTTTTACTGCAATAATAAAAAGGCTCTCCCAATGTATATACCAATATTGAAATGAACTCATGAATTTATGATATTCACATTATTAGTTAATTATCACCAAAAATTAAAAAGTTAAAAAGACAAATAATTTCGCATAATCTTGCTTTCTTATTTTAAATTATATCATGAAGATTTGAATGCTAGATAGCGATACTAGGCTCCGTGTAACAATCAGTTTATTTGCGCGTGTTAATTTGTTTGAATTAGTTTATTTACGCGTCTTGAAATTTTCCAACTTTTGACTTTCTGAAGTTGTGATGAATTTTGAGGAAAGCACCTTCGTGATTTTGGATTATTCTGCTTTATTTCCATTCAAATGCGTACCCTTTTGGAACTCCCTTTCCAGTTTCCGCCCATCTCTAATTTCTTTGATAATCAATTTTCTTTTCATCTTTCGTCTCAGCCATCAGATTTATCCTCAAGATATATATAATTCAAAAGCTATTTCTCCACATCAAAATTCATCACCCCAAAATACAATCCGTCCCAGTATTTTTAACAATAGTAGAATTTGGCTAATTAAATACTACATGTTAAAAGTTAATTAATACTACCTCCGGTCCTTAATATAAGACCCTGTTTGATTTTTATTTTGGTCCTAAATATAAGACCCCATCCAGTTTGTCTCTCATATTTATACATTTTTTTTCAAAGTAGCCCTTCTAACAATGATAGTTCTAGTCAATACACTTGATTAGTAAGAATATTTTAGGAAAAACAACACATATTTAGGACAAATAACTAACTCAACTTACTTTCTTAATCTCCTCAAATTAGTCAATTGGCTCTTATAATTAGGACCGGAGGTAGTAAAAAAAAGGGTAGAATATTTAAAATTTTTTACATGGGGGCCCCATTCAAAAATCAAAATGACGCCCAATGGAAAAGATTGAGCACCGCAAAACAAACAGCTATTGATGCTAACCAAAATATTCATACATTCATTTAATAATACACAATTCGTGAATAACTTTACAGCCTAATGATATGAAAATTTTCTAGTAAGTGGAAGGTCGCGGCGAGTTCAGTCTTATTTATAACCTCAAGTTGTTAATTATTAACCATTCTTTAAAATGAAATAAATAATAATAATACATAAATGGAACCCCTTCAACAAGCTCGCTTCATTCTCAATGAAATTAAACTCGAGAGTTTTTATGTTTTTCCCCCCGAAATCATGCTTGTGACAAAGATAACATATAATTACGTTAGGGTTTCTTACGTACCCAACATCCTAGCGTCCACAGACAAATATCAAGACTTTTGAGAAATAATACTTATCATCTTCAATATAAAACATAATTGATTAGTTTGGGGAGATTAAAAAAGCTAAATAAACTATTTAATTATAGCATATTATCTCCGGTCCTCATTATAAAACCTCGTTTGTAGTCTACAAATGAGATTTTTACAAACGAAGTTTTATAATTAAGATCAGAGGTAGCATATCACATGATTTTTCTGAAATATTTATGTGTATTATTAGGTTATATATCAGTTAAGACAAACTAGTTTGAAAAAAAGCAGTAAATGTAAATACTTTAAAAGAATTTATTTAGCTTTATGCAGGGCTGTAATGGAAACTGTACACACAGATCAATGAGGTGAACAATGCAACAGCGTGGATAGTTGAGAACACACATAATAAAGTTGATCGTAGGTTTCTGGTGTGACTTGTTGTCAAAGTAATATGGGAATAAAATAAGAGCGCAAGACGATTCTGTGGTGGTGTTTCTGGTCCCCTTCTTTGAACCGAGACATGAAACTATGCTCAACTCTCTCAACGTACGAATATATATATAATGGTTTTGTCACGCTTCTTCTTTCTTTTTTGTCAAAACCAAACCAAATATATATAATAAGATGCCCTTAACGTTTTTCTAGATCTCTC